TTTGAAGCATTTTCTCCCAAATACAAATGCATTGTCTACCCATTCAAGGAAAAATCAATTTTTTAAGATCTAGATTTAACAAAGAAATGCCTCTCATACAATTAGAAATTATGAATGAACGGTTCATAACTTAATATTGATTGTCACGAAAAATTGTTAAACTTAACCAAATTGTGTAGAAATTTGAAGCATTTTCTGCCAAATATAAATGCATTGTCTACCCATTCAAGAAAAAGTTATTTTTTAGGATCTAGGTTTAACAAAGAAATGCGTCTCATACAATTAGAAATTATGAAGTAATGGGTCTTAATTTAATATTGATTGCCAAGAATAATTGTTAAACTTATCCAAATTGTGTATACATTTGAAGCATTTTCTCTCAAATACAAATGCATTGTTTATATAATCCCCCAGAATACATTCTACTTACTACATACTACTAATAAAAATTACTGAATTCTTAGTTTCCTACTAATAAAAACTAACTTTTACCCAAAAACTTCTCCTTAAACTTTGTTTTTTCTTTTTATTTAACACATAAGAAAACTTTCGTTCAGATTTTCCGAGAGGGAGAAGAAATTTACTTTAGCTTTTTTTCTGTTTTTCTTTCTTAGCTAGCCCGCTCTAGTGGAAAAGTTTTAAAACTTAAATTTTATAACTCTATTTTCAGATTCAATTATCTTTAAGGCGTTTTTACGGCCACTTGCCCTTTTTTAACATGATTTTTACTTGTTTCTTTTTGTTGTTGTGTCTATCTAATAATACGGTGTGCGATTTTTTTAGTTTTTAACTTATTTAGAAATTAAATTTTTCAATACAAAATACCTATTAATTAGAACATGAATAATTCATTTATATGACCATGAGATGGAAACACAAATATACGTAATTTTACGTTATTGTGATGATATATTTCTTGCTTTAGTTAGTGATTAAATATAATGCAAATTGTTAAAAAAATTGGTCTAAACAAATTATTATACAGAGTGGTCCAAACTGTATTTCTGAAAATTCGGCAGCATATTTTTCAGATAATAATAAGTAAAAAGTTCGTATAAATGTATGTCCTAAAATGCGTAGTTTTGGAGATACAGGGTGTAGAGGTTTCATTTTAATTTCGATTTTTTCCAAATAGTTTCTGAAGTAATGTCAATATTTGGATGAAAATTGGTGTTTGGGAGTTTTTTGACAGGCAAAATTTGATTTTGATGTCAATATGACTCCTCTTTGTAGGGGGCACCACTTACATGTATTTTAATTGTTTTGAAGAACAATAAGATATCTCAAGATATTTAGAATGGAAATAGTCAAGACATGTCATTATTGACAAAAAAATAAACATATTGAGTAGATAGTTATTTGACTGGAATAATAAATTTGAGAACTTTCTATTTTTTTCAAATTAATCATAAATTTTTCTTCAAAAAATGACGAAAAAACAATTTCTGTTGAACTTTTGACACAAAACCATTTAAAATTTATGTTTTCAGTCTACTGTCTATTTTGTCAACATGTTTAATTTATGTCAATGATGACAGGTATTAATAATTTCGTTTCCAAATATCTCGAGAACCATAATTTATAGCGATTTTTACCAAGAGACCTTTTTGGCGTAAAAAACGCCTTAAATGTATATTTTTTTACTCAATAGTTTTATACAGGTACAGACAAAAAGTTATTACACTTTAAACCAATTAAAAAATATGTAGGTGGCGCCCTTTACAAGTAGGAGCCATATTAACATCAAAATCAAATTTCTCATGTCAAAAAACTCCCAGACACAAATTTTCATCCAAATATTGACGTTACTTCAGAAATTATTTGAAAAAAAACCGAAATAAAAGTGAAACTTCTACACCCTGTATCTCCGAAATGAAGCATTTTAGGACATAAGTTTATACGAACTTTTTTACTTATTTTTATGTACAGAATATGCTGCCGAAATTTCCCGAATACAGTTCGGGCCACCCTGTATAGTGTCATAGTTTTACTACAAAAGGAAAGATAGCAAGCAAGTCAAGCAAAAAAATGAAGAAACAAGGCAACTCAATGTTCAGTTTCTGTACTCTATTTTTGTAACGTTTTGAACATTAAATCGTGTTTTTCTTATCTACTTTTTTCCCCTGACCCTTCAATTCATAATTTCTAATTGTATGATTAGCCTTTCTTTGTTAAATGTAAAGCATAAAAAATTGACTTTTCTACACCCAAATTGGAGATAGAAAACAGAGTGAGAACGTAATGTAATCGACTAAAGAATAAAAAAAATATAAAAAGAAAATAAAAAAGAAAGAGAAAAAAAGTTTATATAAAAATAGTTATTTTTTATTTTTCATTCCATTAATTTATTATACATAATATTAGTTCATTATTCATTACCATACGATACTCTTTATTTATTAATCTTAATAAAAATTAAAAGAAACGATTATAGCAAAAGAAACACCAAAATTGCAGATGAGACCCTCTCTGAGTTAGAGCAAAATGTTAGCGACCAGAAAATAGGATAATAATAAGAAAAGTTGAAGATTCCCTATATCTCTCTTTCCCTATATCTCTCTCCGAAGGAAAACCGGATGTCATTTTCCGGTGTATCACGTTCCCGACGACACGGTAGTGACGGGAAATTTCGCCCTCGTAAAAATTCGGAATCGAGAATTAAGGAAAAAGAATGACCCAATTTTCGGGCTGCTTGATTCTTATTCGATGAGTCCTTACGTCATTTACTTTATACAGTGTTCGGCAATAGTGCGTCGGGTATCTGTAGCTCCTAGAATAAAGAACTTGAGAACTTTGTATAAGTGCAAACCTAAAGTATATGTGAGTGGACAGGGATGATTTTCTTTAAATGGTACACCCTGTATATTATTGCTCATGTGGCTTCCCTTTAGATCACTTTACATAATCCTGAGATATGAGTAAATACATTTCGATAATTTCAGAGATATTAATAAATAAATAAAAAATATATATTTTTGAACCTTTCTTAAAAAAATATTACCAATACAAGAACCTGTCCTGAAATCAAAACTATATGAGGTATTTACTTTAGGTGGTCTATACGTACTTTGCTATAAATATTGTAATCTTAAATCATACAGGGTGTTCAAAATTCTACCCCAAACTTTCTAAAATATATTTTTTTTTTGTTTTTTTAAAGAGAACACCCTATATATTATTTTTATATTAGACGGAGAGTTAAAAAATGAACATTTTTTGTATTTAAAGTATTTCAAAATTTTTAATGGTTTCGAAGATACAAGCAGTTTTATTTCATATGGCTCTTTCAACGGTAAAATACGAGAGAAAAATCAATGGGTGGGGCTTTAATACAAATTTACTGTTGAAAATGCCATATGAAATATAAGACTGCAAATATCTGCGAAACCGTTAAACATTTTAAAATACTTTAAAGGCAAAAAATGTTCATTCTATTGAAAAAATAATATACAGGGTGTTCCATTTAAAAAAAGGAACAAAAATTATTTTATATTTTAGAAAATTTGGCGTAGAATTTTGTACATCCTGTATGATTTACGATTACCTAAATTATAGCAAACTAAGTACAGACCATTTTTAAAATGAATACCTAATATAGTTTTGATATCAGGACACTTCTTGTATTTTTAATAATTTTTTTAAAAAAGGCTGAAAAATATATATTTTTTATTTTTTTATTAATATCTCTGAAACTATCGAAATATATAACGTCAACCTATAGAAGTTTTATGCTGCTATTTTTTCTTTCGGTTTGCATTTAATAAAAATTCCCAAGTTTTTTATTCTAGGAAAATCAAAGAAAAACTAAAAGGTTATACCTACATATTTCTTAAAAATCACCAAAATTGGCCCTCTACAACAAAATATATTATGCTTTAAAAAAACATCAAAATTTGAAGGTGCCCGTATGTTAATTTAAACAGTTCATTGCATGTTAGAACAAAAAAAATTATCTGCTTTTTATCTGCAATTGTCCCCAAGTTATACTCCAACAAAAACCATCATACAAAAAAAGAAAAAAAAAAACGTTTTTAAAAATATATCTATTTCATATTCTTATCGGGGATATTAAGGCAAGATAACGACGCATATTTTCCCGGAAAATATTCCAGTAAACCCTTTATTTTCAGCAGACTTTCCCAAAAAGCTACAACAAAAGAAAACAGGCATCTTTATATTTCAAAGCCGACTTAAAAGCGCAAGAAGGACAAAGCAAAAAAAAAATAAAAAGCCTTAATGCTTACGCTGATGCCATGGCAATATCATTCCACTTTTATTTTTATTGTTACTGCTTCTTCCTTGAAAAGAGTGAAAACTGTAAAAACTTTATTCAATGCAGTGTCTGGTATCTTGTAGAAGGAAAAGTTTGTTAATTTGGGAAAATTTGAGAGATAAAGTAAAATCAATTAGGCCTAAAACTGTGAAAAAGGAGACGCGAGGGACAATGTTGCAAGTTTCCTGTTTTTATTTGCTTTAATTCGATTTCAAAACGTTATTTGATAATTAAATAAAGAAAGAGGTCTGGAGAGGATAGAAGTTTTATTTTTCTACAGTGATCATTGAATTACCAGCTTCAGAGATAATTTCTTAAATTAGATTTATTTTTGTAATGTTATAATAGAAAATTTTGGTTTTCTCTTATATGCATAATTTCGAGGTATATGAAACTCAAATAGTTATTTATGTAACTATGCAAAAAGGACTTATTTGTTGCATGCCGCATGAATTTTGCAGCTCGAGACAAAGTCGGGAGTTAAAAATAATATTAAAAAAATGCACGACTTCCCAGAGTCTTGCAGCAAAACCAAGATCAAGACCAGGACTGGACCCTGCATAACCAAGACCAAGATCAAGTCTTCTTATTACTTGCAAAACAAAGACAAAGACCAAAGAAGTTTTAGTTTGTTCATCACTAAATTTAATTAACATTACAAGTAGTAAATGTAGTTAAAAATACTTAAAATGGATTTGATTTTTAAAATCTATAAGTACACCCTTACCTGCAACTGTCAATGTGGCATTCCTACTCCTCACTTTGCCTAAAGCGTTGCTAGCTTCACACCAGTAGACTCCAGCATCCGATTCCTTTCTTCCTTGAACCACTTTCAAGAAGAACAGGCTTCCTGTTGGTAGTACCACTCTATGAGATCTGGCATCCTGTTGTGTAGTGCGTAGAAGTGACCCATCTTTGTACCTGCATTCAACAAAACATTAATGTATTTTTAAAAATAAAATCTTAATAATATCATATTGTTACTAAAATAAATACAATGACATTTAGAGGCTTGATAATTTGGTAAGCAATAAAGAACTTTTATTTACCATGTAATAGATGGTTCAGGTTCACCCTGTGCATGACAGTTCAGCGTTGCCGGTTCGTGACGGGCTACCGTCGTATCTACAGGGTGTTCTGTTATTCGAGGCGGTTGCTGTGTCGTGTGATGATATGCTGAAACAATAAAAAAATATATTACTATGTATTACGACTGTAGGATACACGAAAACACTGGCGTTTAAATAAAACAACTGCTTTCTGGCTGGCTATCGTAAATTTACTGAACTTATCTTTTTTCCGCATTACGTAAAAGACAGAAATTGTTATTTACAGTCAGTCACAATCCATTTTCACAGGGCTGGTAGATGTCGATAAAAGAAACATATTATGTTTGCTTTACCGTTTTTCAAATAAGTCAAAAATAACCGAGTTATTTTACTCTGAAAATTTCCAAAAAAAAATGTTTACTTAAATTTTGAGAACCACTGCACTGCCATGTTGACAATATCTCTCTATCGTTCTCGATCTTACGCTACATGGAGTAGGTAATTCATCCGCGCTCAAGCCTGTCCATTGCCTCAAGTTCCTCAACATTGAAAGCCTCTTGCGCCCAATCCTCTTCTTTCCTTCGATTTTTCCGTTAGAGATCAATCGGAGAATTTTTTTTTAGAATTTAGAATGAGTGGGAGGGGGGTTAATCACTGCGACCATACAGATCTATTGTGTCCCTCTTCCTTGAGTTATAACTCATCATACAGTCCCAGGGCTTTGACAAAAGCCAGTATCTGGGACGGTTTTATAGAGGGTAGTTACAAGTTATAATACTCTCCAATATCAGTCGTACCAAAGTTCATGGCACGAATGGTTGTCGTCTAGGCGCAATCAGTGATGAGGTGTACTGGTGTTTCTCCATTTTCCCCAGAGAATCTGCATTCGCCGTTTCTTCTTAGTTTCAATCTACTGATGTGTTCAGTCGGAGAAACTCATATCGAGGTCCTCTGGTTATAATATGGTCAATGTATTCAAGTTTTCGTCGCTTGGTAATATTCAGAAGTACTCTGTCGTGCTTCATTCTTCTAAGAACTTTCTCTTCTAAGAACAGGTTCTGGTGCTCCAAAATATGTGAAGCATTCTTCTGCATGTCCACATTTCAAATGTTTTGATTTTATTTATCGTTTCTTATACAAAAGAATCGACCACACATAACACTTTGTAAACTTCTCCAGTATTTTTGAAAATCTGATTTCGTATGAAGGATTGATATGTTGGTTAATCCACCTCGGACAGCTTGTTGGACATAAAATTGCTAAACTGTATTTAACCTCTTTCCTAAACTTTTAATTTAGAATGATTCTAATGATCCCCCTCGAATTTTGGACACCCTATACACTCTGTAAATTATACATTCTCTATTAACAACATTAATCAACTCCACGTGACTTAAATACCCTCACTTTCCCTTCCACCGGAAGAGCGCAAAGCATCGACCTCGCTCCAACTACCATCCACCTTTATGACAATAATCCAGGCAACTTAATCTGGATCTGGGGGGACCGAAGTATTACACGGGCAGCCTTATGGTCGGGCTCTCCATCCGGCGGCGACGCCAAATCCATAGATAATGGAACGGGAAAGTAGAGGATATCGATTATGGGACGGGAAGAGGAGTTAAAGATGGAAAATGGGGGGATTATTAGAAGGATAGGCGTGAATGCAAACGGGGACACGTCCAGGTTTGGATATTGCCGGAATATTGGAACGGGGGGTGTGTGTAATAGTATAAGATGATGATGTAGGTCTTGACAGGAATACGTAAGAAGACTTACTGAAGATAATGTAGTTTAAAGTGATCATATCAAGTATGGAAATATATATATAACTTATATAACTTTGGCAAATTTATTATCTGGCGTTAAGATTTAAATCCTTATTATCTATTACTTATATCAATTGTTATATTATGCTGAATATGCGCAACGTGCTAATTCCATCCATGTTTTCATATTCCACTAAATTTAATTTACCGCATCGCCTGATCGCTTCTTCCACTGCTCATTGAAATATAATAAATTATGAAGAGTTTACCTCGAACAGCAGCTACAATAATTTCTCTCATGTTGTCGACAATACTTGGTCGAGTTTTGTAAACACTGTCTTTAACATATCCCCATAAAAAAACAGACTAGATAAAATCAGGAGCTAGTATTCTATTAATTGGTGAATGCACACTGCATTCCAAACCAAACCAAACTAATAGAATCATATTAATTCTCTCTGATGTAGGATAAGTTTTATTTTCGGCAAATTTCTGAGAATTTTTTTTGTTTTAACTGACATAAAATGATAACTGGTTGTTAAAGTTGGACTAATTAAACAGCTATGTTGAAGTCACGTCAGACATATCAGAGCCACCTAGATTTTATCAAATAATAAAGATCTACTTAGATCAAATCATGTAAATGAAAATATATAGGAAAATCTTTGTTTGAGGGGTAGGCAACCTTAATAGTATTTTGAAGAGACATGAATTCTCCATTGAATATCTGAATAATATATTGGGTGTTCCATTTAAAATAAAAGAGTAACATTCTTTTAAAGGTAACCAGTATTCAATATTAATTTTGTCTCACCCTGTATAACTTTTTGGACCAAGTTTTAATTTGATTTAGAGTACAATAGGCTCTATATTAGGCTATACCGGGTAAATTCCAATTTAGGTGGCTTTTATTGTAATTTAAAAATTGTTCTTTATTTCTAGAAAATGTTAAATATGCCAAAAACCTTACATTTTAGCCATATACTTCTCTTAGAAAACTCACCTTTATTTTTCTCCCAGAATCCGAAAATCGATTAATATATAGGGTACATATATAATACATTACAAAAAATACAACTTTGATATGTAAAGTTTTTTGGGGACACCCTGTAGTCTCTATATTTTTAAAAAGTGCTTTAAAAAAAAACTACATATACTCACAAAATTTCATTTCAATACAAACTGTCGTTCTCCTTAGAGCCTCCGCGGCGTATGAGAGGCGCCACCCTGTATATTCCCAAATATTTTTTAAAAATTTGGGACGCAACAGAAAACATAACAGAATAGGAATTAAAATATTAAATATGGTGTGTATTCTGAATCGGTACGTTTCGGGAATGTACGCATCTAAACGTCGGGTTTACCACAAATATGAGTGTGTATAAAAATGTAGATGGCGCTGCGATACAGGGAAGTTTAGGTAACCACAATTCTGAAAGTGTGTGATACCAATAAATATTATGATTTGTGGAAACTTACACATGTAATTTTTCGGATCTAGCCGACCAGACTAATTTTGACCCGAGGATATCGAATTTGCTATCAAAAAATTGTGGTATACGCGTGTATGTATACCATAATTGAGACGTATGTCACAAATACTACTACTGCACACACAAGGTGTCACAAATATTGTCACACAACCACACGCATACTCACACAAACACACCTACATTAGTGTACACTGATGTTACTCCCTTCGGGCCTCATCACCCAAGTAGCATTTTCACGACTTGCGACCACATGTTTACTAAACACAACGTTGGATTAGTTACAAAAAATAGTTAGCTCCCTACCTTCGGTATTAAAATAAATTTAAACGATTTTATAACGTTGTGCCGACGTTGGACTAGTACTACAGCAAAGTAGAAGCTTCTGCGACGTCGAATAAACGTTGTCTTCTAACCTTTTTTGCTTAAGTGATCTTTAGGTGATTCGGACAACGTAGTTACAACGTTGAACAATATATAGTTTTCCGACGTCAGTTTCAGGACCTATTCCAACCTTATGCAAACGTCGTTTGTTTTACTAATTCCAACGTTGTTTAGATTTCCTTATTCTTACGTTGGTAGGACGTCGAGTCACTACCTTTTTGCAACTGTATTGAACCATAACCTTAAATCTTAAATTTTCACTTCATTGTTCTGTTCAGTCAGACAGTTCAGTGCTGTTTTTGTTTTTATAAAAAAACTTAATTAAAATGGGACATAAGAAAGGTACATATAAAACTAAATTTAAATATACATCGACATATATTACCGATAATTTATCCACTCCCTCGGTTATTTAGATTTTAGAGTGCGGCACAAGCTAGACTCTAGGATGACTAAATTAGGCAATCTTGCGACGAGTACACTACCTGTTAAGGCCGAACTGCGACTTTATTAGTCCAGTATGCGACTACTCGAACTACTCCATCTTAATCTCCAAAACAACAAAGTGAAAGCCGCCATGTTGTTAAATAAGAAAATGTTTCGTTCCTAAAATAGCAATTCCTGCTTTTTGAATACATTAACTTGAAATATTTGATCCTAAAAAACACGCGGAAACAATTTTTTCGACTGCGAATAAATTATTCTCATTTTACTAAAAAAAAATTCAAGAAAATTTTTAAAACTTCTTTAATTTTAAGGCCCATTAGTATTTTTCAAAGTAGAAACAATACATTTATCAATAAAGTTGTTTGCGTTTAACTTTTTTGCCTTGGGTAACGAGTTACAGAGTCGGTTAAAGTATATCAATAATTCTGATCTTCAAACATCCTCCACACTTAAATACTTTTGTTTTGTTTTCCTTCACTGCCAAATAAAAACACTAAATCACCACAATACACCAAAACACTTTTACTTTTACACTGGACGCGCGTTTCGCTAACCATGTTAGCATCATCAGCAGATGATTATAAACTAAAGTACAATCTACAAGATGAGCGTTTATATACTCGCTCAGTGGGCCCCGAGTGGGCGTGGCAAAATCTAGCCAACCGAGTCAGAGCCAACTGAGCGTAACAGTTAGATTTCCGCCACTAGAGTAGTAGGAACAAAGAACTTGAAGGAATTGGACCGTTGACTCTGTTCATACTATCTTTACATTTTTAATTCTGATGCTTTCATATGCATCTAATTGCCTGTAATTTGAGACTTGTTTATTAATTTTAAATTATTAAGATCTATACAATGTTCATTATCAACAATATGTTCAGCAACGCAAGATTTATCTGGTCTACCATATCTTATCTGAGCTAAATGTTCTTTAAATCTAGTTAATATTGATCTTCTACACCCGACCTTTCCAGTGGAGGTGTTTTATCTTTTGGATTACCTAATATATTGTTGATAATGCTAATAATTGTACAGAT